AAATGGCAAAGGGAAGAAATCTACGACGTATTCAAGAGACAAGATTCAAAGTGCTAACACTGCTCAGGTTGAAGTCGATTTTTCTATGCTTTCAGATTTGTGTTACATTTTCATTTGTCCTGAGTATTTCCAGTCACCAATCCTCATCACATGCTAAGAAGATAGAAGACAAATCATCGGTGTCCAAGTGAGTCAGATGCTTGAGACCACCTAAACTCTTGTTGCTGTATACTAAGAGGGATGGGATTTGGGAGAACCACAGATAAAAAAAATCCCTGAGAGTCTTTGTGTCCTGCAATGTAGACCTTTCTCATGCAAAGCCTCTCTTCACTGACACTGTTAAAGAATATGGAAGCAGGGTCAGTTATCCATGACATCACTGTCTTTGACACATGGATTCAGGAGAAACACCAAATGATCAAGCATTAAAATTCCTGCTACATGGTTAATAATCTAGTCTCTATTGTGAATGTACAAGAAGACACATATCTAAATTTCATCTCCAAAATAATCCCTTTCGATGGGTCTTTAGTGAAGAATGGGTGGGGAAACAAAATCTAGTTTGGGCAAAGTGATTCCTAAAGATGTTGGCTTTGGACCCTCTAGGATGTTCTAAGTCACACCCAGAACTTAGTCAATGAGTACAGTGTGATTTATGCTTCCAGGCCATTAGGATATTGAGCTATTGCAATGTGTTACACAATTTCTTTGGTTTTCAAAAAAAAAAAAAAACTCACACAGCAATCACTAGCTATATAACCTTTAAAGAGTCACCTTACTTGATTGAGCATTGTTTTCTTCATCTGGAAAATGAAGGGACTATAGATGATCTACAAATGCAATCTTCTGTGTCAATGCATTGACGGAGCTTCTTAATAATGAAAATATAGCTCATTACAATTACAATAAAGAATAAAACTTCCATAATGTAAAAATCATCTGAGGCTCATCCGTGAGGGCGATCTACTGGCTTGTCATTTAATTGCAATGGTACACAAAGTACATATATTTCAAAGCTTGATTCTGAAAGGCTATGGGGCAATGTTGTGCTAATGTGTGCTCCAGGCATCAAAATCCTCTAAGAGATTGTTTTAGAGAAACACGAGATTTAAGTAAAATGCAGAAATAACATTACTTGAAGTGGAAAAGGATGGAGATGAGGGAAAAAAATACCTTCAGTGGAATTCATTTAACTGTGGGCAAAATCTGCATTGAGAGGATGAGAAGAGGACACAGTATGGGCCATGACAAAGAATTAATTCTCTTGAAAGGTGAAAGAGTTGGCCAAGTACATTTGCATGGACTCTTTCCAAGAGAAAAGGAGTGAAATCAAATTCCAACAAGGATAAGCATTAAATATATATTATATAAAACTACATTTATTCATAAAACCACCATGCTTTGTATTCTTAATTTTGAAGTATACTTTATCTGGACAATGATTATAAATTTAATAGTTAAATTTGCTTTCAAATGTTTTAACTGTATTCTAACAATCTCTAAGAATTGCTTAATTTAAGTTTCAGAAAAAGCAACAACATTTTGTGGGTGTAGAAGTCATCCAATCTTTATGAATTTCCACCCTTGCGAACCAAGAACATAATGCTAAAGATGCCTCGTTCTAGGATGTGCAATGAGATTGTAGTTCAAGACCTGCTGAGCTAGCCAGAGAACTGGCTTGCTAACATATACCCTTTAGTATTAAAAGAGTGCACTCCACCAAAACATAGAAAGTTCTTCCCAGCCATAAATGAAACTATTTCCAAAAGCACTTGCACAAGGAAGTCTTTGAAACCAAAAAACAAAATGAAATTTCTATTAGCCATGTGACCTTACTCAAATTCTACAATTCTTCCTGAATTTCCAATGCATCATTGTCAGATGAATGCTGTTTTTTGCTCCAGATTCACTTTCCACCCTTGTTGCCTGTCCTCCGGGAATGCTGAGGCCTAGAATACATTCACAGGGAGCCACTGCTTTCAGACTTCGGATACTGCAAAAAAGAAGCTGGTGCATGAAGAGGAGAGATGCATGAAGACAGCGATGTCAGGATCTCTAAATCCCTGTCTGTACCCACTCATCAAGGTGGACTGCACTTACCCAAAATGCTATTCTTGACACAGTTCTCTCCACATTCTGGTAGCTGCTTGCTTTCCTCATACCCTGAGGTCTAGGGGTGGTCAACGGTTTCTCTGCTCTCTCCAGATCCCAATTCCTGCTCTAAATGTGGTTCCCCATCCCTTCCCCCATAACTGTACAAATGCCTCCTTTGTGAATAAACCTCTTGAAGTTTCCCATTATGTGAATGCAATGTTTTCCTGCTGCTGCACCTCATTTGAAATGTAGATAGTACCAGTAACCATTTCAAAAGGTTGTTACAAGGACTGCATAGCAAAGTACTTGTGGGTAGTCTTCAGGTCATGTTCTACGTTCTCTAAAAATCAACCATGAAATGAGAGGACACTGACATGGTACTGCTTTCTTTAGGGAGAGGTAGTCTCAATCAGCAAAAGTGAGGCCGGGGTGGGGGCAAGGGGAAGGGTCTAGGAAGGATGGGAAGTGATTGAGAGGTGATGTGTCACCTCACTGGCCACTTCACGACAAGCTGGAAAAACACACAGACAATATTTGGCGGGTCACCCCAGGCACAAAACAAATTCTACTCACATGCTGTTTAGAAAAGCTGTATCTTGAGCAATCTGGCAGAGACAAGGAAATGATGCATTTTCTGGGTGACCCTCTCTTGTTTTCCTTTGATCAAATTTGGTTCCAAATAGCAGTAACTCCCCAGGATTTCAGTTCATGCCATGAGGCATGCCTTTTGCTTCCTGGGAAGCCAAATTTCAGGCCCTCTGGTGAGGGTTTCATCCACACCCAAAAAGAGCAAATAAAGAGTTATCACATCATTTTAGGCAATAGTTGACACGAAAAAAAATCTATATATATGTTTATGAAAATGGAAGAAAGATGAGGCATTGAAAATCTGAGAAGGTGCCTAAGCTCCGTCTGGTTCTCGGATAAGGCCAGCATTATCATCATTATTATCACTCTCCATACTTTAGACACTTGTCCTTGCTTTCCTGTCATACTACCTTCCCAAATGGTCCCATGTCACAATCCTTCCTTGAGAGGTGAACCCAGAGAAGACAGCACACCATCTGATCCCACACAAGTAATGGCTAAGCACAGAGAGAATCTGGGAGGAGACCTGGGCTGGGGCATCTAAGCAGAACTCTTGCTTCTGGCGATTTTGAACTGCAACAGGGGAAGAGTGATATAAAAAGATCATGAGTGATATCTAGAAAATAACAGTGACTACTTGAATAGAAACTCAGAAAGCTAGGAAAGTGAGATAGTGCTTTGAGGAATAGTAGGGATGCTGGTGCTCACTCTAAGTTACATGCAAGGTATCACCTACTGTGATAAAGAAGCAGAGAGATCACAGGTATCCATACAGAGCAGCTTCACAAATCATGAAAAATGAAGCAAATAAGCAGAGGCAAGAGGCCTTCAACTTCACAAGGAAATGGAGAAGGTCATCAGTCTTGATTCCTGCTCTCCTGTATCACCCAACTGCGTTCTGTTCTCTATGCTTGGATTTTTGTAAAACCCCATGGTATCCCATGCAATAATCAATTTTTTTAGATGTTTTTTTTTTTTTTTTAGTGACAGACTCTACTCAAAACAAACCTAAACAAAAATAACCTATTAACTCAGAGGCCTAGAATGTCTATAGAGTGTTTGTCTTCAGTTAGGGCTTGATCCAGGAATTTAGCGATATCATCAGGAAATGGATCTCATTTTCTTTTTCCCCTTGGCTCTCTTCTCTCCTGCTAAACCTCATTCCCTGCTATATTTCTCTCTCTCTTTTTAAATATTTTATTTATTCATGAGAGATACATAGAGAGAAAGAGGGGCAGAGACACAGGCAGAGGGAGAAGCAGGCTCCATGCAGGGAGCCTAATGCAGGACTGGATCCCTGGACTCCAGGATCATGCCCTGGGCTTCAGCAGGTGCTAAATCACTGAGCCACCCAGCGATCCCCTCCTGCTATATTTCTCTGCAATGTGCAGGCAGTGATAACCTTTAATGATCCTCAACAATGCTGATCACTTGAGTACCAATCTTAAATTTCAACATCCATGTCAATTCCTCAAAAAAAAAAAAAAAAACTGATTGGCTTGTTTTGAACCATCTTATCAGTTTTGATTAAATTAAAGATTCTAGAGGTCTAGAGTACTCTGGACAGCCTAGCATAATTGCCAAGTATTTTAGTACTGAAGGTGAAGCTATGTCATTATCAGCTCCATCATACAAGGAACAGGAAAGCTCTATATGGAAAAGATGCTGAGCAGCCCAAGATGGTAACAGATATTCACTACATTCATCTATTCTGTTTTCAGAAATCAAATAATCCCAGACTGAGGGATCTATCCTTTCTATAGTCCCTGACATACTTGGTCCTTAGAGACAGACAAACAAGTAAGTGAAACACAGAACCTTTCTGAACATCTTGTAATTTTCAAGTCCACTGCTGGATAAGGAACATGCTGAAACATAGACAATTTAATTACAAAGTTGTAAGTATGATAATAAAGTACGTAGAAGGTATAGAAACATTAGGCAGGACATTTAGGCTTTCTCTGACTCCTGTAGTTAAACTTACTTTCAAATATATGCCATAAATATCAACTTAGAGGATAGGCTTTTCTAGATTGCATTTTGAGGAGAATCAAAAGTAACACAGATGATCCTGTGATCAGATATGTGATGGGCATTAATTACCCAGATAGATGGTGGATGTTGACAAGAGAGAGATATTTGGAAGAAAAGTAAGGGCAGGTTTTGGGGGGACTCCCTAAAGAACCTAGGGTTCTTGCTAGCAGGCCAACTACCACTAAGATTGGTCCTGATATTCACTAACCAGCATCCCCTTAAGAACCCCAAATAGAGGTTAAGTAAAAGTAAATGTGGGAGAGTTCGTGGTCTATTTCCATTACCTTGATTCCGGTCTCTCATGGTAGGAGATATTTTCATTGGGTGTGCTCTCCCAGGCCCTCTGGATGTTTCTGGAACACAGAAAGAGAAATAGACGTTTTTCCTTGTAGTTTCAAGTCCTCTCCTTTCCCTGCTGCTTCTGGCTCTTTCAGTCTTCGGCTTCCAAAATCAACTCGGCCAAATGATATTTAAATTATTTTAAAATTTATGTGGTCTATTTTAGAATTTTATCTATCCTGTCTATTACAGATGTCTACTGAAATTGCTTAATAAGCCTGATGTTGGAGACCAATAACAACTCTTGCTACATATATAAGCTTACCATAATATGGCTAATTTTCATAATAGATTATTTTATGAGCATTTAGCAGGCACATGGCAGACATCTATAAAGCCTCGTTTCCTCCTGTTCTTGAGCACTACTTAACAGAGAGTATGTATATCAATATGCAAGCATGCTTGGGTAGGCATTTATTACATAACTTTAATTTTGAAATAATTGTGCTTATTTTTTGGAAAACAAAGTGTTTTCTTATTTTCTTTTGATAAATTTGTTTTGTTCTCGGGGGGGGGGGGGATGCACAGAGAAGAAAGCAATCTCATCACCTGTTCATATTTTAGAGAACAAAGATGTCACTTCATGCATATCTATCATGTTATATCACAATTTAATAATGAGTCATTTTAATAATAGGATTGTTTTATGCCTTAGCAGACAAGAATTAAATTCTATACTAGGATTTAATTTAAGCCAGTACTTACATTTCATATCCAAATAACCCTTGAAAGGACCACTAACTTTGCATTCTATTTCATTCTTACCTTTATTTTAAAATGGTGTTTAATTTCTCCACAGAAGCACCATGGTACATTGAAACGTCTATGCCTAATAACAAAAGCCACTGAGTAGGAATACAAAAATTGTCAGATAAACGTCAATTTATGACTCTATAAACATTCGATCTGTCCGGAAAGTATGCACTGATGGAGTCAGTTCTGACAGATAAAGAGGATTCACTGAATATCCATTCCTGAGAAACATCCTTCATTAATATTTACATTCCTCTTGACAGTGCAATTGCTGCAACCATAGGTCAGGAAAACATAGGCTGCATTTGGCAAATACATTTACAGTGCAGCAATATACATTTACAGTTTTCCATTTGTCTAAAAATCCAAATACTTAGGGCAAAAATATGGGCCTCACTATGGACTTCCCGGACTTCGGACCTCAAGTGTACTAATTCAAGGGGGAAAAAAAATCCATGACACTTATTTTAAGGCATGGCTGCATTCACAGCCAGTTAACTCATTATAGAAAAGGAAACAAAGGCTGATTTTAATGCCCCTCCCCCTTTTTTTCCTCTTCTTCATTTTTTATTCTGCTGTAAGCAGTCACTAAAAATATATCTGGTCAATAAGGGGCAGGTAAAATTGGAAGGGTTGCTATAGGAACACACGAACTGATGCAGAGAAATAACCACTCTAATTTATACTGTGTTTTCATGTTGTATTTCCATTGTAGTTAAACTCAACTTCAAAAGACATTCCTTAAGAAAGAGGCTATTTGAAATGCAGAAGACTTTCTGAGAGAATTTTATGGACTAACTTTAAAAATAATAAATTCTATATCTGAGTAGAGCTACAAGCAGAAACCTGGTATTTCTTCTCTTCGTTCCATTCTCTTTTCAGTGCATTTTAACTAAAATCATTTTTACGCAGCCTAAGACCAGGGAATGCATTTTAATGGTGATGAAAGCATGAGTAATGAGGAGTGCTGCCTGAAGCAGCCCCCTCCAACTGCTCTCCCCCATTTTGACAGGCAGCATCTATATTCCAACTCTGAGACCCTCCTCATTCCCGATTCTGTTGAATTATCCCACTCAGAAACTATGCTCTCCTCAAGTCTTGTTTTTTTCCAAAGGTGACAGCCTCTACTGCCTTGTTTCTGACCTCCATTTGGTAAGTCCAGCATAATCACTGGAGGCATTTCAGACTGACAACCAAAATAATTTCACATTCCCCAGACCCGTGACGGAAAGGACAGGGTCATTGCCACCACAGCCATATAAAAATCTTCCAGAGGGAGGGATAGAGAAGGAGCTTACTGCATGACACAAAGCCTTATATCAGAGGAAGTGAAACCAAAGCCTTGCTCATAGCTATATATTTTCGTATGTCCAACTCATAAGCTCAATGAATTTTCTCCCTCCCCTCCAAAGTTGTGGGTGTAGTCAGTGAGCAATTTATTCCCAAAATGAGGGTGCATAAGCAGTTTCTAGGCCAGTGATCAAAAAATCCCATGGATCAAAACTGCTCAGGAAACAAGATCATTCACAGCATCACCTTAATGGCGTGGCTAGATGCTGGTTGCCCCTCCTTCCCTAGTAAGTCAGAGACAAAGGTCAAATGTTCACTCTTTCCTTGTTAAAAAAAATGTTTCATGGTTGACAGGGGAGGAACTGTGGTTCATCTGACAGTCTTATCACTTCATTCGGTTTAGTTCAGAAAAGTGGTTTTCAGCTGGAGTGTCTAGTTGAAGCATAGGGTTTGAGAAGAAAAGGAGCAAGATGGAAAACAAACATCCTAAAGATAAAAGCCACACCAAATAAATTTTTGAAGTCCATAAAATGATGTATGTCAGAGGGGCCAGCAATTAATATCTCTGCAAATTATGCAATGATCAAGCACAAATTATTTGTGTGGGGTCAAACACTCCAAATGTTTAGTACCAATTTATCCTGTCCTAACATTATTGACATAAACAATGTCTTTGCAAGAGCTTTTAATCATGAAGATATTTACATGTGCCTGGGAGTGCACAGAAAATAAATATAAAAGCAATTTCTCTGCCACATATTCCTGACCAAATAGCCCAACAGTAACACTCAAGACTGTGTTTGTCAAATAACTAGTGCACGCTCTACTGAAACACCTAGTATGTATGAAAACGTTGCCTACTTTTTTGGGTGAAATTGTACATATAGTTCTGGAATGCATTTTAAAAGCTTTTCCCAAGACTGAAGCAAAGAATTATCAAAAACCTTGGGCTGATAAATGTCTTCTGAAAATACCAACATCTCAATTACAAACACGTCCATCTAAAACTCCACAAGAAAACCCATCAATGGGGCACCTGGGTGGCTCAGCAGTTGAGTGTCTGCCTTTGGCTCAGGTCATGATCTCAGGGTCCTGGGATTGAGTCCCTCATCAGGCTCCCCACAGGGAACCTGCTTCTCCCTCTGCCTATGTCTCTGCCTCTCTCTGTGTGTCTCTCATGAATAAATAAATAAAATCTTTAAAAAGAGAGAGAGAGAACCCATTATCATACAACAGAATGTACCATTCCAGAAAATATTTCTCATATTTCTAAGATGCTCTTTTAAGCTGAACCATCTTTTTGTTTCAAATCGATGTCAAGGACAGTTGGGATAGATGGGGAAATTTGAACCTTCCAAGACCAATGGGACCAGTTTATAAATGATAACTTTCAACTCCAAATCTGTTAGCTGGAGGGCAATAATGATTGTTTAGCCTAGAAGATGAATTTAAATTATCCTACAAAATATAGTTTGTAGAGGTAACTAATCACATTAGAGACTGTGTTTTCCAACACAACCCATCGTGTCTTTTTTAACTATGCTCAATCCAACTAATCACAAAAGAAACACATTTGTGTTTGTCTTCAGAGAAGTACTAGCATTTTGAAACTCCATCACCACTGCCCACACAGAAAAAGAACAAATTTTGGAATTACTGAGTTGACTTACATACATGTGTGATTATGGACTATTTACAATTTCTGGGTGGAAGCATTCAATTCTGTCATCATATGTGGATGTGTCATCAGTAGCATTCCTGTTGAGGTCAGAGAACATGTTCAGTTCCTTGGGCATGGACCTATCTTTACTGTTACCCCTGACAAAGGAAAGACAATCTGTCTGGGTTTTCAGGCAGCCTGTAAATAACTACCTGTTCTCTCAGCTGCCTATATTCAGAACCAAGGCAGAGTCATAAGAGTCCAAGAGATGCAAATTTTCCAATCACCTCTCTGCTTAATGACACTGATATTGGTGTCTGTGGCTTAACTAAGCAAATGGGATTCATCTTTGAATTGCACAGACTCACCCACCACAGTCCCCAGCTGTTAGAAGCCACCACAGGCTCCAGAGCAGGAGTAGGGCCTTCACATTTAGAACCTACAATACATGACTCCAAGAGGAATGTACACATCCTGAAGTAGGCTCCCAAAAAAGAAGTGAGACAGAACAGATGAAGATCAAACTCCCCCTCTCCATCCGAACTCCAGTGGGACAAATTATTTCTTCAGAGAGGGACATCAGTGGCTCAAAAAGCAAGCTACAATACTCTCCCTAGGCCCCTTCCAGAAGGAAGCATAGAGCCAAGGAAAAAGTGAGTTCCCCTTCCACCCCAATGCACGCCCTTTCCTCTCCTAGCACACTACAGGAAAAAAAAAGTGTTCTAAATGGAAACTCAACAATCTGAAATAAGTAATTTGCTTTGGTAAGTTCTTAATTTAATATGAAGAAGTAACTTAAATATTGGAAAAATTTAGCTTATTAATTTATATTATTAAGCCATATTTCTACTAGCATGGATCCTTTGATATTAGCCTTACCTTTATGGTGATGGGAAAACTGCTGTAGGAGTTTAAAATTTTCATATTCTCAGTAATTTTTTTTCTCTCAGCTTAAAAGCAATACACACACACATACACACATACATACACACACTGTTGGGTTGCTCAGTCCACCATATATTTATTACTGTTTTATTTTTTAAAGAAAAAAAACTTCCCAAATATCTCACTCCAGTACAGTAGAGTAAAATTTGCTTTGTTTACTATGAGTATATCTTGCCCATCATGCATTATCTCCTTATGTACAAAGGCCCTGGAGTCTTCTTTAGACTGTACCAGTACTTTTGAGCCCAACATTTTATTTGATAAAAAATCAAAGGTTAGATGAGTTGTATTTACTGTGCTTCCCAGAATAAAAATGTTTAAAATGCTTAAAAATAAAAACCCTTAAATGTCCTTATTGTCTTTGAC